TCAAATGCATCTTAAATTTATTCCATTCATCCTATTAAAAAAGGGCATGGGATGTAAATTGAATAGTAGATGTGTCTCTCTTGCTTTGGAACCCCCACTCTCCCCTTCTCTCGCTCCCTCTCTGCCCCCAAAGACCTGCAACACACACTCTTTCTCTCTCTCTCCCCACCCTCGTGAAGCCTCAAAGTCTCTTTCTCTCACTAAACCCCCCAAAATCTCTCAAAATGAAGCCCCTAAATCTTCTCAACCGAATCTCTCTCTCTCTCCCTCCGTGAGACCCCAAAATCTTTCTTTCTCTCAGTAAACCCCCAAAATCCTCTCTCACGGTGCTCAACTAAATCCCTCTCTTAAACCCCTAATCTCTCTCTCACTTTCTCTTTCTCTCTCTTTATCACAAAATTGGCTTTTTTGGAGTAAATTACCTTCAAGCTATGATCAATTATTTGCTATTTTTATAGCAAACAAGAATTCTGTATTTTAATTAAATTTGTGCATGAAAATATCATATTTAAGGTGCTCTTGTTCATAATTCGTTGGTTAATGTTCCTAAAATCTATTTGATCATTTCAAAAGAGTTTTAGTGTTTTTTTTTTAATGATCAATTCAGTCAAACATGCCGCTATTTTTTCAACAAGTCCATTTTATGCTGAAAAGGTGAGGCAGGATCTTGGTTAAGAGAGAATGAGAATCCACACTAATTCAAAGATATTTAGAGAGAGTAGAGTAGGATCTTGGTTTGAGAGAGAATAAGACTCTCATGCTAATCTAAACTTGTTTAGAGAGAGAGAGAGTAGGGCACGATCTTTGTTTGAGAGAGAATGAGAGACACATGCTGATCTTTCCTTGGAGAGAGAGAGTAGTGCTTTGAGATTTAAATTTGAGTTTGAATTTTAAACGTGGGCTTGAAATATATTTTAAATTTGGGATTTTTATTTTTAAATTTGAGTATCATCTATAATTGCCACTAATGCCTTCCAAAAATATGATTTGAATAAGGAAATCAGTGTAATTTTAAAATATATAAGGGTAACATGCTGTTAAGAATGCTGGAGCAGAGTATTTTAAAATCACAATTAGTATGATGTATACTAGAATAACATATATATATGGAAAAATCTGGGGTTAGCCCACTAACTCATATGAACATATTAGCCCAATGGCCCAGATTGAATCTGGGTCGATTTGATGATCACAGATGTCTGGTAGTGTTTGATTTTTATTTATTTTTCTACAAATTAAAATTACTTGAAATTTTAGGTGTGTATTCTTTTCATCAAAGAGAATCTAATAAAAATATTAAAAAATTATTCGTAAAAAATGACCAAAATACCCCTAAATCTTTTTGGGGGTATTTTGGTCAATTTATTTCATGTAAAATATTTTTTTGATATTTTTCGAAGATTCACCTATTTTTGATAAA